GACAGTGAGCTATATCTTGGTATTACAATTGCAAGTTTCACTCAAGATAGATATTGTCACATTGGTCTGGAGTAAACCTTTCATGCAAAATACTGTAAAGGGCCTACAACACCAGAGAGCTGGGTGGGCTAACACAACGGTCTGTGTAACTGTGGTACTTGCTCCTTATGTCTGTGTGGTAGAATTCAGCCTGATCCTTGCACTCACATATCATCTAGCTGATTATGAGGATTAGACGGAGAGAAGTTGCCTTCACTTATTTCTAACTGCTGGAGGCTTCTAATAGCTCCCAATTAGATCCTAATGGTTCTGATGGCCCAGTCTGCTTAGGTCGGTCCAAGCACAAGGAATGAGACAGAGACTATGGTGAGTATTCTCTGCACTTCTGCATGACTGTGCACATAGTCTGAGAGTGATGGGGACTCCAGGAAATACTGCATCTCTACTTGCTTGAGGGCTGACTTCTTTTTTTTTTTTTTGGAGAGGTTTTCGCTATAGGGCATGTGTGCTTGCCAGACAGACAGAGACATAGAGACAGAAAGCGAGAAATCACCCCCAGGGGGAATGGTCACGCCGCAATCCCTTCTCCTCCATTCTCCTCTCGGGATCTTGGGCACGCACGCACACGCGCCCGGCGTGAGATTTAAGCCACTGGGTCTGAGACGTGAACCGCAGTCGACCACATGGGAGTCCAGCAACATAGCCATTACGCTAACTGCTGGTTCCCGAGGGCTGACTTCTTGAGGGTTGCTAGGAGGCCATTCCATTACAGGGGTCCTGGAAGCAGGGAAGCGTTGGGTGATTCTTGCCAGAAGAGGCTATTTTCCAAGATACACGGGTTCCTAAACTTTCCTAAGAATATTTTGGACATCTCTAAAAACAATTAGGTAAGCTTTGAGACATTTGAACTCTACAGTTGAGGCCATGAGTCAGCTAAATACAGGCTAATATCTTTCATGAGATCCTAACTGTACTGAGTGATGTCTGGAGAACATTGATTACGGGTTCTTGGGGAAGCTCTCCAGGGGCTCCTAACCCCCAGGCCATGGGTACCATCTGTGGAACCAGGAACCAGGTGGCACAGTAGGTGAGTGATGGGTGCGCAAGTGATGTTTCATCTGTATTTACAGCCTCTCCCCATCACTCACATCACTTCTTGAGCTCTACCTCCTATAGATCAGTGGCAACATTAGAGTCTCATGGTAGCACTCCCCCTACTGGGAACTGTGCATGTGAGGGAGCTAGGTTACATGCTCTCAAGATCCATCCACCTCTCCTATGGAAAAATTGTCTTCCACAAAACCAGTCCCTAGTGCCAAAAAATTCAGAGACTGCTGCCGTACTCTATGTTAGGAGCAGTAGAAAGAGATTATTCAAGGAGGAGGACAAGAATCCATTAATCTTTCTAGTGGATCTGGATCAAGAGCAGGGAGTGGGGAGAGAAGTGGCAAGGTGAGCTCCAGTGCCTTCCCTTTGTCGATAGGGGAGGAGATTGGCCCACTCCATTTTACCCTAAGAGGGAGCAGGAAAACAGAGGAGAAAGAAGGTGACTGAGTCTTATTTCTGTGTTGCAAGCCTGAAACTCTCACAGTCAGAATCTATTCCTGGGAAAGAACAGGGCCATCTGCTAGGACCTATTTTGCACTGGTATTGGAGGACCAATGAGATTTCTTCATTGGGAAAAACCAAAATGCCTCACCTAGCATCCAAGCAGAAAGGGCTAGGTTGACAAGAAGGGCAGGCTTGCTTTGTCTGAGAACACAGAGCCCTGGCTTTCCACTCGTATTGCAATAGAGAAATGAGAAATCTTGTGGACCTGTCTCAAGCCACATGGGGGTGGGCAGGGAATTTCATTGCTGCTGGGAGCAAAAATCACTACAGGGCTCAAACAAAGCTCTGGTCTGGATCTGGACAATGTCACCAAGGCACACACAGGCCTGGGAGCTGAACAGTCGCATGTTCAGATAAGACCTGGTCCCAGCCTGTGGCAGGGAAGTCACTTCCTACTGAAGTTCTCTGGTGGTAGGTTCTTGGAAGCAGAATCTTTTCAGAGTCTAAGGAAGGTACTCGGGTACATGAAAGACTGCTAGTTGCCTTAATAATTTACAAACACTTTCTGACACCAGAGACTTTAATATATCTCAGTCAATACTTCTGTAGTAATAGGGAAATAGAACCGGAATCCTGACCCTGAACCTGGTACTTTAGGCCACCATTTTTCAAATGAGGAACTTGTTTCCTCCCCCATGGGACTGATCAGTATTCCAGTAGATGGCTCTAAAGCCACTCTAAGAGCAAGGTTCCTATAGGTACCTTGGGTTCTTAATTGCACCGGAATTGACATCACATTCTGTCCCAGAAGAGAGAGTTTGTATTGTATTTGCCAAGTCTACTTCACTGAATAACATAGCGCATTAACCATCGGGTAAATAAAGCATGTATTTGTTCTTCAGTATAATACAAACATATGACTGTTAAACACTTTTGTAAGGCAAAGAAATACAGCTGACCGAAAGTATGTTCAGAAATTAAAGACACATGATTTATGCAATCACCACATTATAGATCCATTTTTATTTCTTATCTATGCAGATAAATCTCATCAGAAGGATTAAGTGACATCTATCAACTGTGATAATAGCAAAACACACATAAGTCAACATAGGCACACTCAAGTATTGGACAGATGTTTTCCGCTCTTTTGAACGGATAGTAGTAGTTGAGCAATACGCCTTCATAGAAGGTGAAACTGCCCATATGAAGACCACGTATAGGGAACACACCTCACTACAAGGGAACAAGGAAAAATATATAGCACTTCTCATTTGGCGAAACTGCAGGCTTAAAGCTATGCCAGGAAGAAATGTTAATCAAGAAACCCAACATCTAGTAAGTCTAGTATCGACTTTTTTTTAGGACAGAAAGCAATCAGCCTTAAGGAAACAAAATTTTCATGTCAGAAAGCCTTTAAGGGAGCACTGTAGAAGATGGATTTTTTTTTTTTTTTTGGAGAGATTTTCACTGTAGGGCGCGTGCGCTCGCCAGACAGACAGAGAGAGACATAGAGACAGAAAGCGAGAAATCACCCCCCAGGGGGGATGGTCACGCCGCAATCCCTTCTCCTCCATTTTCCCCTCGGGATCTTGGGCACGCACGCACACGCGCCCGGCGTGAGTTTTAAGCCACCGGGTCCAGGACACGAACCGCGGTCGACTACGTGGGAGTCCAGCGACATAGCCATTATGCTAACTGCTGGTTCCCGATGGATTTTGATTATAACTTGAGGAAAAGAGACAGAAGAAAAACAAAACAAAACAGAAACACAGTTAAAAGATAGAGTAGGGAGCCTTGTGGAGACTGAGCGGTAAGCCTCAGCCATGTTGCAGCCTATGTAGGGGACAGAATTACCAGGGGGCAGAGGGCTGAGCAGAGTGTACCAACCTCAGCCCAAGAGGTTTATGCTTCTTCCTCTCACCAACGTTTCAACAAATGAATTTTCTAAAAAAGATTCAGTCAATTGGCCTATGACTCAAACCAAACAAGCACGTGTGTACATACTGGCACCTCTTGCTAAATGGCTGGACTAAGGGGAAGCAGAGGGGACAAAAAAAAAAAGAATGAACTACAGAGCAGGATTCTCACTTCCCTAGTATAAAATCCATATTTTGATTCTAAAATGAGAACAAAATGTACTATACTCATTTCCAGAAAATGAATGAAAAGTGCGTATTCATACACCTTTCTAAACGGATTCACAACAAAGTATGCCACACCAGTGACAGCATGCCTATTTACACTTTTGAGGAAAGAAAGCAAATTAATATGAAGTCAGACAAAGGCAACTTACAACCAATGTACAGTACTCAGCAGACATGAATGCTACCCAGCTTCACTAAGAGTTCCTTCTAAAGTTTTTTTTTATGAAACAAATGGGGGTCTGAGCCCTTTTCTCCTGATTTTAAAACAGCCACAGATTCTGGGTAAGTGCTGATGTCTTCCAAATGACCAATGTGAGCTTGCTTTCTCGCTAATAATCTGTGAGGTTTATTTCTCTCCAGTGGGAAGTACTACATTGGTGCTTAATTCCCTCCATTTGCGAAAGAGGCAGGAACTGCCTAGTGAGAGCGAGCAAAGCCATATTGTCTGTTAAGAGGGTGGAGGAGAAATGTAGTCCCTTGATCCTAATGACTTATTGGAAAAATTGATCACAATAGCCCCCGTCTGGCCAGACTCAGCTTCTCTGAGTCCATGCTCGCATCTGGCTTATTTTTCTTGACTTTGCAAAGCCCCCTTTTCCCATCAGAGCAGCAATTCACCAAGTTACCAGCTCTTGCTGGAGCAGGCACACGTGGGCGTGGACCAAGGGGACAGGATGAACACTAGACTGATAATCTCCCATCCAACTGAAACTCTAGACTGTAATCTTCAACTCTGCAAAGCAAACTATCCTCAGCACTCATATAAAAGGCACCCTGCTGGCGGGGGGCGGGGATGGGGGGATGTGCCTTCCCATCCAAGTGTGGAAATTTAACTACAAATTCAAATAAGAGCCTTTTCAAAGTAGAGTCTCTTTCTAAACCTAAAAAAAAAAAAAGAAAGAAAAAATCACACCCACTAACTGAAAGACCACTAGTGGATTCATTTGGCAAAGGCACCATCCCTGGGTTGGCCTTAGCTGTCTCTTCCATGTGTGGCAGGGCCTGGGGAAAGTTTATCTGCCAACGTGAGTCAGAATGGAAGCTGATGCAAGTGCACAGCATGCAAAAGACCTCCTGCTCGATTTGGTAGAGGATCCATGCCACAGGACAGAAAACGCCCTTCCACGAGGGGTTTCAAATCAGACCCTTGTGTCTTATTTAGCACTTGAGTGAATGCCAGCGCTCTGTGGTCTGAGCATTAATGCATGCACTGGCTTGGATTTTTCCAGACCCAATGAATAGCATCGGCTAAAGATAGCACAGTAATATAACACTTCAGTCACAGGGCTTGGTGTGTGTGTGTTTTTCGTTTTTCTTTTTCTTTTTTTTTTTTTTTAAGAAAACTAAATTAAACATTTTAAGCGTAGTCCCATAACAGGAACATGAGAAACCAACCTTGGGTAAATGCACAGGCCAGAGGGAAAAAGAAATGCATCATGTTGGGAGAACAATGGCCGTAGGCTCCCCTTTACAGCGAGCATGACCACGAACTTCTGTCTCTACTGCCCCTTTACCTGAAGCAGGAGAATGAGGATGTGTGGGGAGCTGAGCTATAAGCATTCCTCAGGTGGGTGCAGGAGGTCATAGACAAAAGCCAATGCAAATTAAATCTGCCTGTACTGATAGGGCCACCAAGCTATTCGTCTTATTTTTTTCACTGCTATCTTGACAACAGTAGCCTGGAACAACTTATGGCTAAAAATAAAGGCATTATTATAGCTGATCTCAACCCAACAGTTATTTGGAAATGGAAAGTGTGAGGGAAGTCCTAGAAGCTGGGTGGTGCTTGGTGTTGGTGTAATGGGAGTTTGGTGGACTTCGTATTCTCTCATCTTCATATGGAAATGACACCCGTTTTGTTCTTGAAAGCTAGACTGGGTCCTGTATGCCATCTACAGCTAAGCTCCTGTCTCTCATTAAATATCTGTCCTGAGATGGCTCACGGATTCAGGAATAACAAGCTTCCAGCTGAAAAGCATTCTCTCTCAGGTCCCAAAGGTCAGCCAAGTAGGGAGCTCCCTTTGCCTCTGGTTTCTGATGGCTGTTTCTTCACAGCCGCTGAGTCACATGAGACTCTGTCTGGGTGAGATGATTGGTCTTTGTGAATGTTCACGTTTACCCAGAAACATGAGAGTTATTTTCCAAGTGATTGCAACGCCGGAAGCCAAGCTCTGTCCTTCCTCAAGATGCAGATTCGTCTCTTCTCCTTGGCAGCTGGAGTTCAAGGAAAGCTCTTGTGACTGTTGACATTATTACAAAGGTTGTAATTTTAAAGACTCACCATGAACAGATACCTTTTGCACCGCTTTTCAAAACCAGCATGTTCTATGTGGATGATCTGTCTATCAGAAGACAGCCAGGAGTGGGGATTAGAAGGCATGTCACTGCTCTGAAAACAGATCAGCTACTTGGAAGAAATGGATGTGCTTGGGGTACCGTTCAAAATAAATAGAAGATAAAATATCTGATGCTCCCTGCTTCAAAATTCAAAGAGGGCTTCCGTTGTAGCAGGCTGATTATTTATCCATTGATCAGTAATCACCTGATTTCAGATCAGATCGAAACGATCAAGCCTGAGAACGTTTGTGCTCCAAGGTGCACCCAGACTTTGAATTTCTTCTGGTGCTATCATCACCCCTTTCAAAGGCATAGTTTACTGATGGGAAGCAGTGTTCTCCCTCTACGTGCATCCTCCAGGTTTAAAAAATCTCAAATAAATTTCAAGGATGATTGCTCTAGTAATCTGACAAATGGCAGACATATTGTACCCCCTGACTAAGATCAAGAAAATTAAAAAATAAAAACTCGAAATGGCAGGGAAACAGCTTCCTAATGTGCAGGGATCTGCTTGTGTCCCCAGGGACCATGGCACTTCATGTCCCCTCTGAGCACGACAGAGGCCCTCCAAGTTCAAGTTCAAGGGCTCCCCCTGCTACAACCGCCAGTCATCACAGGGGTCAAAAACATCAGAACTGCTGATTTTTCCAAAAATCTTCTCAAAGCAGCAGTAACCACAGCAGTTTTCCTGCAAAGCAAACAAAATATGAATCTTGTTAATTCAGCAGGGCTTTTAAAATTATAATTAGTTGGTTGTGCCCCTTAGGAAAAACCACAGATGATTTTTTTTTTTATATATAATGTATGTGTGTATGTGAGAGAGAGAGAGAAAAAAAAGAAACCTCTTGATGGATTCTACTGCTTGCCAGAGTTTCTTTTTTTTTTTTTTTTCAGTTCATGCAAGATATTTTAGTACTATTTGCAATGTTGAAGGACAAGGCCCCTTTGTTCCAAGGAACACGCAATGGCTCCTAGAAGTACTGCACCGCCATCCGGTCAGCTTGATCCCAGCATCAAAGTGAGAATGTGAGTCTTGCGTGGGGATGTTTCCATTTGCTTTATGACCACATCTGACTGGGGGCCTGCACGCCTGCTGCTGCCCTCCCTCGTTCCAATGGATCTAAGGAGCTGCCCTGTGCTGATGGCTTGCATGCTGGTCAAAGAAAGAGGCGAGAGAGGAAACAAGAAACAAGATGGCACCTGGTTGGTTTTTGGAGTGTTTCCTTGACACATCAAAAAAACCTCTAACAAATTGCAGGAGATTTATATGCCTCAATTTACATCGCGGAGTATGCCATATTCACTGGGTCTGGAATGCCTTCTTTATCCACAGAAATAATCTTCAACCGCCAGATTTTTTAAATCAATATTGTCTCAAATTTGGTTCCGCTCATAATGTATCTTGCCAAAAAAACCATCTCACCCTGTCAGGAAGTACTATTGTGAAGAGTGATTTTTTTTCTTTTTTAACTCCTCAAATGAAGCTTGAGTTAATATCTTAAGTTTAAGTATTAACCATAATAAAAAAAAAAAAAGTAAGAAAGTAAACTAGGAATCATCCAGATTGCATAGATCTGTAATGATCCTTCCTTGTTCTGCGGCGGGCCCCAGGTGAATTTCTGTGGCTGAAAGGGACTCCAGGAGGGGCAGAGAGCCAGTAGCCCAGATGACCAACAGGAGACAGACCTGACTCACTTTGGAGAGGTCTCAAGCCAGTTCCAGTAGTGGTCGTATCTTCTGTACCCATTTGACTTGCTTCCAGTTTTGCCTCCTGTGTGACTGACTGTCCCCACCTGGGTCGCTACTGCCTTGCTTCACGCTGGATGCAAAGTACCAGCTTTCTCTGCAAGGACTTTTCTCCTCCCACCACCATTTCCTCATTGCCAGACCCTGGCCGCAGCCCAGCCTTGGAATGCAGCCCCTTATCACCCAGTGAATTCATTCCCACCAGGCCTCAAAAGCAACTTCAGCCCTTCTGGTGGGAAGGTGGTTTGTGGCAAACCCATAGGGGACAAAACTGCTTCTGAGGGAAAGGATGAGGGAAGAGAGAGAGAAGGAACGAAGATGGCCGGGTGCTCAGTACTCACAATACTCATGCTTGAGCGCCATAGCTCGAGCCCGGGCAAGTGAGGGTCTTTTCTTTCTCACTGTCACAAGAGCAAAATTACCTCCTACTCTTTTCAAAACATTAAAGCCCTTGCTATTTTTGACAAATAAGAATGGTCTTTGTAAATAGAAAGCGAAAGCCTTCCTGTTGACTTTTTGTAGATTTCTAAATACGTGTTAGATTCTTCGGTGACCCTTCTACCAAAGACCCAATGTCTTCCCAACACCGACATTTGCAATGATCCACTCATGTCCTTCTACACCATCTCAGTCTACAAAAATCTGAGGCAGCTTGCAAGAACTTGTATAGTCAGGCCTCAGGAAATGCTGATCTGAATAAAGGATTAAGATCAGTGGGCAGCACGGATGCAGTCTCACAAGTGTAAATTTTATGCAGTTGTTAAAATTGAACTGCAAAAAAATAGCTGTGGATTTACAACTCAAGAATAGAGAGCTGCCTTGCTGGATGGTCAATGGCCATCCAACAAGGACCTAAGTGTTGGGATTTCTAAAAAGTCTCCATAGCAAGTGCACCATTACTTCCTCAATCTCCTCTAGGACACACATCAAGCTAGGCTATTGATACAAAAGAAGGTAGTACTGTCTAAAACCATCTATTAATAAGTCCCACATATTGCATGTTTCCCAACACAAGTAATGACAAATGGTTGAGACAATGAGGATGCTAATTATCCTGAATGAATCATTACATGTTGTATTCCTGTACTGTACAATCATAGTGTACCCCCCAACGATGTACAATTATTATATGTTAAACAAAAATAATAATAATAAAAAAAAAGAATTCCAACAAAACTCTAAGCAGGATAGAGGACAGCGTGTATTTGGGTTTTATATGGAATAGTGTTCCTGGGGTCAGAGAGCAGGTCAAGATGAGGAAGCAGTTCAGGGGAGGACAAAGACCAGCCCTTAGCTAAAAAGACATTCTCTGCCATTTACTAGCCACGTGGCCTCGGAAGAGTTATTGAGTCTCTGAGACTTGGTTTTCCCATCTGAACAAAGAGGGTATTACTTCCTCTGATTTCATTCAGTTGAATAAGGACCACCTGAGACAGTTTCTGTTCCATTCCTGGCACCTACTGAGCTCATCATTGAGCACCTCCTCACCAGGCTCTGTTTGTGTGATGTCATTGGAGCCCCTCCACAGGCCTAGAAAATCGGGTAATACCTAACTCACAAGTCAAGAAACTGAGCTTTCTCCACTAGGAAATGGAAGAACCAGGGTGCAAACACGGCAGTCTGATTTCACCCCCACCCCCATCTGACACACGGCCCTGTTTCCCACACAGTCCATGCAACAAACATTCATTCACTTTCTTTCTTATCTTCTCTTTCAAGGCTAACACAAACACCTCTTTGGGAAAAGGCTTGAGACTGACCTTTCAAAAGGGCGCCTTCCATTGGCTATTTGGTCACAAGGCCCTGAGCAGTGGAGCCGCAATTCTTCTTTTTCTAGGAAAATCAGAAGACATTTTGGGAAGGATTAGAATAGTTTTCTCAGTTCCCAACTTATGCTAGGTGCACACATAGAGAGTCAATCAAATTGCTACCAAGTAGAAATGCTCTCCAAGAGAAGTTCTTGAAGCCCAAGTTGGTGATGATTCCCTGGGAGGTACACTCAGCACCCTCAGAGTCCAGTGCAAGCCTGTCTCCCTCTCTTCCCTAATACCCCTGGCCCCACTGCCCTTTAAAACTCACTTTAACACAAGAGCCAGTACTTGTGATAATAATGTTCACAACGATGAGTCAGATGTAGACACAGCTTTTAAATCTTTCAAATTTAGTAGACAAGGGTTATTTAAGTGCCATAGAGAGAGTCAACAAGACGGAGAAACAATCTCCAGGTTGGGAATTGAGAAAAGCTGTCTTAAGTAGGCCTCAGACAGTCACTTGAATGTGGGCCACTCTGGGAGGAGCAGTAAAGACAACGCTGGAAACAAGAATTCTAGACCAGACCTTGACTGCTGGGCTGGGCTGCTTGGTTTGGTGTGGACAATCAGGAATGCATGAAGATTTTTTTTTTAATTCAGAGTAATATGATTAGGGCTGTAATTAAGGAAATAATGATTTGATGAACTAGGAAAGAGAGTTAGTAGAAGTTGGATCTCGGTGTGCAGGTTATGATTTTACTTCCTTGGGAGAAGGGTGTGAGTGAAGGTAGTTGCACTGAGAATGAGAAAGAAGAGTAGAAGACTGAGTTCTGGGAGGTGAGACTCCATGTCATGTGCATTCAGTTTTCTGTCTCTGGCCGTCAGGCATCAATTCCTTCTGCAGTAGGCGCTTGACGAGTCCCAATAGATCCACAGTGAAGGGTGTTCGGGCCCATCCTAGTTGACAACTGTTTCTTTTCTTTCTTTCTCTTTCTTTCTTTCTTTCTATTTTGCTTTCTTTTTTTTTTTGAGAGGTCTTTGCTATAGGGTGCGTGCTCTCGCCAGAAAGACAGAGAGAGACAGAGAGACAGAAAGCGAGAAATCTCCCCCCAGGGGGGATGGCCATGCCGCAATCCCTTCTCTTCCATTCTCCTCTTGGGATCTTGGGCACGCACACACATGCGCCCAGGGTGAGTTTAAGCCACCGGGTACGGGACTCGAACCGTGGTCGACTACATGGGAGTCCAGTGACATAGCCATTACGTAACTGCTGGTCCCAGTTGACAACTGTTTCTTTTCTTTCTGTCTCTTTCTTTCTTTCTTTCTATTTTGCTTTCTTTTTTTTTTTGAGAGGTCTTTGCTATAGGGTGCGTGCTCTCGCCAGAAAGACAGAGAGAGACAGAGAGACAGAAAGCGAGAAATCTCCCCCCAGGGGGGATGGCCATGCCGCAATCCCTTCTCTTCCATTCTCCTCTTGGGATCTTGGGCACGCACACACATGCGCCCAGGGTGAGTTTAAGCCACCGGGTACGGGACTCGAACCGTGGTCGACTACATGGGAGTCCAGTGACATAGCCATTACGTAACTGCTGGTCCCAGTTGACAACTGTTTCTGATGGAAATGGGCTATGGACAGATGGCAGAGCCATGAGTAAGGCTGGGAACAACTGCACCTCCCTTTAAACATCATACAGAAAATGGAGGGCTTTAGGAGCCTAATTTTTGTTCATTTGTTTTAATTTTCTATAGGGTGTGTGCACTCACTTAAAAGAGGCAGAGAAATAGAAAAAAGGAAAATGAGAAAGCACTCCCCAGGGCCGGGGGTGGGGGGTGGCAATTGCGGGGAGTGGATAGCCATGTGCAATCTCTTCTCTCCCTTCTTCTCTTGGTATTTTGGGCAGGCATGCCCATGCACCTGGCATGTTTTTCAAGCCACTGAGTTCCAGACTCAAACTACACAGTCGGTTGTGTGAGATCCAGCAGTTTAACCTCCCTGCTACTGGCTGGCCTGGATTTTCTAATTTCTAAGGGAAAGAAAATCCTTCTTAAATGTAGTGACTGATTAAAAGCAAGCAAAAATGGTTAGGAAACAGTAAGCAATTTTTTTTTTTTGAGAGAGATTTTTGCTATAGGGCTCGTGCGCTCGCCAGAAAAACAGAGAGAGACAGAAAGCGAGAAATCACACCCCCCCCCCCGGGCGCAGGGGGCC